GTGATTCTGCCACTGCACCGCAGCCTGGGCAACACAGACCCTGTCACAACAACAACAACAGAAGGATCATACTCATCTGATGCACTCTTAAGTATTCTTGCCTACCAAGACCAGGGGTCTGCAAACTTTTTCCATCAAGGACCAGAAAGCGGGGTGTGGTGGTTTGTGCCTATAATCCCAGCACTTTGGGAGGTCGAGGAGGGAGGATTGCTTGAGACTAGGAGTTTGAGACCAGCCTGGACAACACAGTAAGACTCTGTTTCCACAAAAAAAATTTAAAAATTAGCCAGGCACGGTGGTGCGCACCTGTAGTCCCAGCTACTCAGGATCCTGAGGCATAAGGATGGGTTAAGCCCAGGAGTTTGAGGCTGCAGTGAGCTATGATTGCACCAATGCACTCCAGCCTGGGCAACAGAGCAAGAACTTGTCTCAATTTAAAGAAAAGTTTTAAATTTAAAAAATTTTAATTGCCGGGCGCAGTGGCTCAAGCCTGTAATCCCAGCACTTTGGGAGGCCGAGACGGGCGGATCACGAGGTCAGGAGATCGAGACCATCCTGGCTAACCCGGTGAAACCCCATCTCTACTAAAAAATACAAAAAGCTAGCTGGGCGAGGTGGTGGGCGCCTGTAGTCCCAGCTACTCGGGAGGCTGAGGCAGGAGAATGGCGTAAACCTGGGAGGCGGAGCTTGCAGTGAGCTGAGATCCGGCCACTGCACTCCAGCCTGGGCGGCAGAGCGAGACTCTGTCTCAAAAAAAAAAAAAAAAAAAAAAAGTTTTAATTAAAAATTTAAAAGGGCCAATTATTTAAATTTTTTAGGCTTTGCAAGCCAGTCTTTGTCACAACTACTTAACTCAGCCATAGTAAGCCAAAAGCAGTCAGACTATTCATGAACAAATGGACATGGTCATGTTCCAATAAAACTTTATTTACAAAAATGGAAGGCAGGGCCCTAGTTTGTCAACCCTGTTTTAGGCCTAATTCTAGTTTACAAGAAATACAGACATGGGGAACAAAAGTAAACAACACCAAAAGGCAATAATATGACACACCCAGAAGGTGTGACATTCTACAAGACAACTAGCCTGGCTTGTTAAAAAAATAATAAATAAATAAAAAATCAATGTTTCAGGGAGGAAAAAAAAAGACAAAGGGCTGGACTACATTAAATAAAACAAGTCAAAGAGACATGTACCTTGAATGAATCCTGGTTTGAAAAACAATGTTCTAAAGGTTGCATATCCTTCAAAAGGTAACTAAAGAAATTCAAGTATGGCATGGATAAGGAGAAGTTACTAGTAAACAAAAATTATCATCATCTCAGGCGTGACAGCATCATGATTCTGTAGGAGAAAGTCCTTAGTGACACTAAGAAGTGTCACTAAGTAAGAACACAAGTTCAAGTTCAGCATAAAACACACCCAGATGAGGCAGACACGGTGAATGCAGGCCTGCAGAGTCTAGGAGTGGGGCACCTGGACCGTCCATTCATTATACTATTCTTTCAACTTTTCTCCAAGTGAAACACATCTGCAGTGAAGTGGGGGACAGGGAGGAGGGTCTCTCAAGCTGGAGAGGCAACCAGGAGCCCAGTGAGGAGGTGCTGCAGCACCTCGCCAACAAGCAGTCACCAACCGGCACCCACCTACCCTGCAACCCCTGCCTCCCCCACCAGGCTTAAGAGAGGCCAGCTGACATCAGCCTATGTGGGCCAGAGCTGTGAGGACAGCATCAGTCAGCCAGGAGCAGAGTGGAGGGGGCCTCCCTTTTGCTGGGTTTCTGGCTCATCCCCTCCACCCATCCATAGTTAAGGTCAGAAATCTGGGACCTGGTCTCTTAGTAGTTCCAGCAGTTTTCTCTTTGCCAACAGCAGCAGGTACCAAGAAGAAAAGGCAGGTGGGGCTCTCCAGCCTACAGAATCTGGGTAAAGGAAAGGGCATGTTGTCTTGTGAAAATGGAAACAAGACCATCTCTCCTGCCTACTAAAACACTTTGCTGGCTCCCTGCTCCCATTCCAGGCTGGCAAACTATGCCAGGTACTGCTGCATCAGCCGCTCCTGTTTATCATCCCCCTGCATCGTGTAACAACCCTGGGACAAATCCCAATTTATTAAGCACCTGCCAAGCCCTGTGGGGATCTCCAACTGGAGTCCAAGGCCTTGGCTGAGCTCTCCAGCTTCGAGCGCCTCCACTTCCCCTCTTCCAACATTCCTGGCCCCTTGGTTCTCTAGTGACACAGAACCCCCTGTGGTGGCTGGGATGTATGAGCTATTTCACCTCCAGGCCTTTGCATATGCTGTCCCTTCTGAACTTTCTTCCTTGCTATCTCCATGGCCAACTCCTATCCAGTCTTCAAAACCCAGCCCCCAACACCCAGGACCTATACACCTACTGGTTTTGATCTGTTTTTATTGGCCATTCATGTTTTGGTCCATAGTTTTCAACTGAGTAGCACCTCAGCTGGCTTGAAATGGTAATTTTGTTCCCCTCAGTGGGGCAAGTATATTTTTTACCTTGGGAGGATATGCAACGATAATTATAGTATAGATTATAGTAACAAGTCTCATGATACTGTGGGCTCCTGAGCTGTACTGTCCAAGAAGGTAGCCACTAGCCATATGTGGCTATTTAAATCAATTAAAATAAACTAAAGAAATCCATTCCTCGGTGGCTGTATTTCAAATGCTCAATCGGCACAAGCAGTCAGCACAGGCAATTGGCACAGGCAATCGGCAACAGTGCCTACTGGACAGTGCAGACACAGGGCATTTCCACAATGGCCGGAAGTGTTCTTGGACAGCACTATTTTAGGGCTCTCCAGAAGGTCTGCTGAAACCTTACTCCATAGATAAGCTAGAAGACTGTTTCTCAAAGTGAGCTCCAAAAGGACAAAGTGGGAAAAAGAAACATTTCCCACTGATTACAAAGGACTAAGCTCCTTAATATATAAAGAGCTAATACATAAATAAGAAAAAGACCAACTATCCAACAGAAAAATAGACAATATAGACAGTTCAGAATAGGAAACTCACATGGCCCTTGAGGGTCAAACTCATCCACAGAGAAAGAAAGGAAAGTTAAACACCCCAAGGTGCTGAATTTTTCCACTGTTCAGACTGGTACAAATCCAAATGTGTGAAAACACAAGGCCACGGGGGCACTCTCAGACATCGCCTAATGGAAACTTTGCAAAACTACAAACTCATTTTCCCAGTGACTCGGCAATCCTGCATCTAAGCACTCGTCACACAGGTCTACCTGTGCACACATCGAACAAGACAGACATGGCTATTTCACTGCAGCATTGCTTATAATGAGCCAAAAGCCGAAAGCACAATAAAGAACAGCTAAATAAACACACTTGGGACACGCATATCCAATTGTCCAAAAAAAAGGGAAAGTAAAACATGAACAAAGCAGCCGCATCTCTCCATATATCAAGGCAAATTCTCCAAGGTACACTAAGGGAAAAGCAAGTCCAGAAGCATGTACAATGCGACCTTTTGTATTTAAAAAAAAAAAAAAAAAAGGGCAGCAGGGCACAAAGGTCTCCCTCTGCTCTTCGACGGCACCTAAGAACAGTGATTAACTGGGGGGCGGGGAGGTGGACGGAAAGGGCAGGGTGGGGGAAGCTCCACCTTACACTGTTTCAGTTTTGAAATAGATGAGTCTTTATCATCTCGTCTGATTACTAAATTGATCTTTTTAAAATGACTCTCTGGACCACCTGCCTCAAAATCAATACAGATGCTCATTAAGAACGTAGTTCCTGCCAGGCAGGATAGCTCACGCCTGTAATCTCAGCACTTTGGAGGCCGAGGCAGGCAGATAACTTGAGGCCAGAAGTTTGAGACCAGTCTGGCTAACATGGCAAAATCCCGTCTCTACTAAAAATACAAAAATTAGCCAGGTGTGGTGGTATGTGCCTGTAATCCCAGATACTCGGGAGGCTGAGGCAGGAGAATCACTTGAACCTGGGAGGCGGAGGTTGCAGTGAGCTGAGATGGTGCCACTGCACTCCAGCCTAGGCAACAGAGCAAGACTCCGTCTGGAAAAATAAAAATAAAAAGGCCGGGCGCGGTGGCTCGAGCCTGTAATCCCAGCACTTTGGGAGGCCAAGACGGGCGGATCACGAGGTCAGGAGATCGAGACCATCCTGGCTAACACGGTGAAACCCCGTCTCTACTAAAAAATACAAAAAACTAGCCGGGCGTGGTGGCGGGCACCTGTGGTCCCAGCTACTCGGGAGGCTGAGGCAGGAGAATGGCGTGAACCCGGGAGGCGGAGCTTGCAGTGAGCTGAGATCCGGCCACTGCACTCCAGCCTGGGCGACAGAGCGAGACTCCGTCTCAAAAAAAAAATAAATAAATAAAAATAAAAATAAAAATAAAAAAAGAAGGTCGGGTATGGTGGCTCGCACCCGTAATCCCAGCACTTTGGGAGGCCAAGGCAGGTGGATCACCTGAGGTCAGGAGTTTGAGACCAGCCTGGCCAACGTGGAGAAGCCCTTTTTCTACTAAAAATACAAAAACTAAGCTGGGCATAGTGGTGCACGCCTGTAATCCCAGCTACTCAGGAGGTTGAGGCAGGAGAATCGCTTGAACCTGGGAGGTGGAGGTTGCAGTGAGCCGAGATCATGCCACTGCATTCCAGCCTGGGCAACAAGAGTGAAACTCCATCTCAAAAAAAAAAAGAATGTAGTTCCCTGACCCTGGGCAGATCTCCAAGTAGTCACAGGTCTTGAAGCGAAGCCCAGCGGTCTGGACTTTTCATGAGCTCTGCCTGTGATTCCAATGCACCCGCAAGTCTGAGGGCAGAGTAAGGTCTTCAGACTAAGAACCCCAGTTCTTCACAGCCCCAGCTGGGGAGACCCGCCCCCCAACAGAATTGCAGACTGGAAACCCCTATGTAGGGTCCCAGGGAAAATCTCCATCTGTACCTTTCCTCCTCACACCAGGCTTGGTCCCTCTCAACGGTAGCCACACAGAGGCCCAGACTCACCTCTCGTCTGGAGAATCCACGTGGAAGGTCCTCTCGATGACTGTGGTCCACTGCAGGCAGCGTATGACGAAGGTGTTGGGCCGCGGCCTCTCGGTCTTCATCAGCTGGCATTCTGCAGGCAGAGGGAGTAGACAGCAGGGGGCTGAGGGGACAGCCCTGCCAGCCTGCATCCCAAAGTGCCCGAGCCACCTCCCACAGGCCCAGCCCCATGCCAGATGGTGCTGGGGACACTCTAGGGACTGAGACAGCCCTGGCCCTGCTCTCACGGGGCTCAGGGTCTAGTGTGTGTGTGGAAGGAGAGGAGCCCACCAGAGAGTGATGGCTCCACAGACAGGGCCGCGATGGGGACAAGCCCAGAGATGTGCAGAAGCTAAGAGGCAGCATCCAACCCAGCCTGGGGAATGGGGGGACTTCCCAGAGGAAGCAGCTTCTCTGAACTAAGCCCTGAAGGAAAAGGGAACTTAGAGGGTACATGGAGAACAGACGCCCAGAGGTGAGAGGAGGTTCAACATCCTCAGCGGGTGGCCAATTCTGCTCCAAGGGTAAGGAGGGGTAAGTGAGAGACAGGCCTGGAGAGGTGGGCTGGGGCCAGCCAGGCAGGGCCTTGGAGGCCATGGGAAAGAATCTGGACTTTGTCCTCTGGGCAGCAGGGAGCCACAGAAGGCTTTAGATAGGGTAGGGACACAAACAGATTGAGACTGATCCCTCTGGTTGCCATGCAGAGGGTGAGACTGAAGGTCAGAAGGCCAGGGAGGTGGGGAGCCAGCTAGGGAGGGTGGGGCCACACCAAAGTGGAGCCCTGCAGACAGGCCACGGGGAGAGGGCACTGAGGACCAGGCCCAGGCCTCTTGGCCTGCTGTCCATGAGACAGAGACAGGAATAGAAAGCTGGGAGAGGCCTGACGGTCAGGTTGGGATGTGGCAGGTATGAGGGACCTAGAAGACACTCGGGGAGATGTGTCCAAGGAGCAGCCTGGGACAGGCTGTGAGTTCTAACGAGACACTGAGGCTGGGAACAGATGTGTCAGGGTCACCAGCACATGTGGAGAGCAACCAGGAAAAGGCTTCACGCAGAGCAGCATGGGACGGATGCTGGGTTCCAGAGCATGGCAGGAGAGGACGGTGGTCTGAGCTAAGGCCCTGGCGGTGGAGATGGGGGTGCCTCTGTAATGTTCTTAGCAGGCAGAACAACAGGACATGGTGACCCATCAGGTCAGCAAGGAAGGAAGGAGGAGGAAAGGGGCAGAGGTGTCGATAGGACTGTATTCTCCAAGGCTCAGTCAAGGGCTTGGGGCTTGTGAAACTTCACTGCCAGGGTCTGGTTGGAAGGCATCCCTTTGGGTATCACGGAGGGACAGATGTTGCGAGGCCAGCCCTGTGACCGGCTGAGTGGGAAGCTGAGACCCCTCTACGTCCGAGGGACAGAAGATGGAGGCTGTTACCAAAGCGCAGGATGGGAGGCACCTGCCACCAGCTGGGGACCCCAAGGCCTGGCCGACAGAAGCTGGCACCACAAGGAGGCGATGCATGGGACTGGGTATGGGCAAGCGCCCTGGCTTCTCCCTCCCTCCCACTCTGCATCTCCCCGCAGGACAGCCCCACCTGGCCAGCTAACAAGGAGGGAGAGCAGGGGAAGGGCGAAAATGGATCCAAGGGCAGGAAGGCCCAGGAGAGGCCCAAGGCTCAATGACCAAGTCCCACGAGCCCCTAAGACCTGCCAGCCATTCTGTGAGCACCAGAACACTGACCCACTCACTCATCCCAAGACACACCTGCTACAGAGAAGTTGTTTAAGGGGGGAAGGGTCTGATCAGGGGCCTCGGGCCTCTCCTTGTACCCAATGAAGGAGCCGTCGCTCTTCAGCAGGAAGTACCGTGGCCTCCAGGTCTTGATGTATTCACCTGAAATGAGGCAGGAGGGGAGGGAGAGAGGTTAGGACAAGGTTGAGCGATGTCCCAGGTGGGTGGCAGGAGGCCCAGTGTGATGGTGACTCACAAGGGGTACCACGGGGCGGGGGGGTGCGGGGGACACATGAGAATGCCTCTCCCAGAGGAGCCCTCCAGGTGGCCCCTGCTGACGCAGGCTGGGGCGCTGGGCTGAGCCCGGGTGATCCACAGGTCATGCCTGGCAGGAAGGTGCCAACGGCAGTGCCCTGGGGCACCAGTTGCCTCCTGGCAGTTGCAGGAGCAAGCTGTCTGTGCCAGCTCCTGGCCTAGTCCCAGGGGAGGCCCAGGCTTCCAAACACACTTGCCCTGTGGCCCTGTAAGGCCAAATCCCACAGACTGGGACTCACCAATAAAGCTGTGCAGGTAGATCAAATGCCAAAACACCTCTGTGCCGGGGGTTGGCACTGCTGCCACACCCTCCCAGCACCCCTTGACTCCTTCCAACTGTTCCTCACCACGAATATCCAAGCACCCTACACACACACACACACACACACACACGAACCCACTCCTTAGAGAGCTGCTAAGGATTAAAAGGAGATGGTGAAACACAAAACCTTACACACAAATGTCCGCAACAGCGTTATTCATAAAAGCCATCAAGTGGAAACAACCCTAATGTCCACAACAACGAATGGATAAACAAAATGTGGCAGATCCATACAATGGAAAACCATTCTGTCATAAAAAGAAATGAAGTACTGAGACGTGCTGCCATGTGGAAGAACCGTAACTCATGCTAAGTGAAAAAAGCCAGTCACAAAGGGACCACATATCATTATGATTCCATTTATACAAAATGTCAAGAATAGGCAAACCTATAGAGATGAAAAGTAGGGCCTGGCGTGGTGTCTCACGCCTGTAATGCCAGCACTTTGGGAGGCCGAGGCAGGTGGATCACCTGAGGTCGGGAGTTCAAGACCAGCCTGACGAACATGGAGAAACCCCGTCTCTACTAAAAATACAAAATTAGCCAGGCATGGTGGCACATGCCTGTAATTCCAGCTACTTATGAGTCTGAGGCAGAGACTCCTTGAACCCGGGAGGCGGAGGTTGCAGTGAGCTGAGATCGCACTATTGCACTCCAGCCTGGGCAACAAGAGCGAAACTCCGTCTCAAAAAAAACAAAAACAAAAACAAAAGCAAACTGACTATGGTGACGGATGCACAACTCTGAATACACTAAAAGCCACTGAACTGTATACTTTAAAATAGATGAATAATGTAATGCATCAATTTTACCTCAACATTGCTATTAAGGCCGGGCGCAGTGGCTCAAGCCTGTAATCCCAGCACTTTGGGAGGCCGAGACGGGCGGATCACGAGGTCAGGAGATCGAGACCATCCTGGCTGACACAGTGAAACCCCGTCTCTACTAAAAAATACAAAAAAACTAGCCGGGCGAGGTGGCGGGCGCCTGTAGTCCCAGCTACTCGGGAGGCTGAGGCAGGAGAATGGCGTGAACCCGGGAGGCGGAGCTTGCAGTGAGCCAAGATCACGCCACTGCACTCCAGCCTGGGCGGCAGAGCAAGACTCTGTCTCAAAAAAAAAAAAAACCATTGCTATTAAAGGCCAGCACAGTGGCTCCCACCTGTAAAATCCTAGTACTTTAGGAGGCTGAGGCAGGCTTAAGTCTGGAGTCTGAGACCAGCCTGGGCAACATAGTGAGATCCAGTCTCCACAAAAAATTTTTTTTAATTAGCCAGGAGTGGTGGTGTGTGCCTGAAGTCCCAGCTACTCAGGAGGCTGAAATGGGAGAACTACCTGAGCCCAAGAAACTCAAGCCATGATGGTGCCACTGCAGTCCAACCTGGTGACAGAGCAAGACCCTAGCTCTTAAAAAAATAATAATAATAATTTACAAAAGCCTCCAAAAAAATACTTAACCAAGGTGGTGAAGGGCTTGTATACTACAAAACACTGTTTAAAGAAATTAGACAGAGATGGGCGGATCACGAGGTCAGGAGATCGAGACCATCCTGGCTAACACGGTGAAACCCCGTCTCTACTAAAATTACAAGAAAATTAGCTGGGCGAGGTGGCGGGTGCCTGTAGTCCCAGCTACTCGGGAGGCTGAGGCAGGAGAATGGCGTGAACCCGGGGGGGCGGAGCTTGCAGTGAGCCGAGATCGCGCCACTGCACTCCAGCCTGGGGCACAGAGCAAGACTCTGTCTCAAAAAAAAAAAAAAGAAAGAAATTAGAGATCTACATAAATGTAAAGATATGCTATGTTCATGGATGAGAAGACAATATTGTTAAGATGGCAATACTACCCAAAGAAATATACAGATTCAATGCCAACCCTATCAAAATTCCAACAGGCTTTTTCTTTTTTCAGAAATAGAAAAGTCAATCCTCACATTCACATGGAATTTCAAAAGGCCTCAAAGAGCCAAAATAATACTGAAAAAGAAGAATAAAGTTAAATACTTTCCAATTTCAAATTTACTATACAAAGCTACAGTAATCAAAACAGTGCAGTATAAGGACAGCCATACAGACCAATGGAAGAGAATTCAGAGCCAAAAAATAAAGCCAAATATCTACACTCAATTGATTTTCAACACAGGTGCCAAGATCATTCAATGGAAAAGAATAGTTTCTTCAACAAAGAGACTATATTTTTTCAAAACGAAAGAAAAGGAACCTAGAAGAAAAAATATCCTTACAATATTTTTTGTTAATTTAAATACTGTTCCTTGCGGAGCAGGGAACAGTGACCCATAGGCAATGTGCCCAGAGTAGCCTATCCTCACAATCTTATCCCTATTCTGCAGATGAAGAAACTGAAGCAACTGGATATCCACATTCAGAAGAATGGAGTTGGACCCCTACTACAAACCATACACAAAAATAAACTCAAAACGAATTGACCTGAATCTAAGAGCTAAAACTACAAAAAAAGGTCTAAGAATACATATGAGTAAATCTCATTACTTTAAATTTGGCAATGGGCCGGGCGCGGTGGCTCAAGCCTGTAATCCCAGCACTTTGGGAGGCCGAGACGGGCGGATCACGAGGTCAGGAGATCGAGACCATCCTGGCTAACACGGTGAAACCCCGTCTCTACTAAAAAATACAAAAAACTAGCCGGGCGAGGTGGCGGGCGCCTGTAGTCCCAGCTACTCGGGAGGCTGAGGCAGGAGAATGGCGTAAACCCGGGAGGCGGAGCTTGCAGTGAGCCGAGATCGCGCCACTGCACTCCAGCCTGGGTGACAGAGCCAGACTCCGTCTCAAAAAAAAAAAAAACAAAAAAAAAACAAAAATAAATTTGGCAATGAATTCTTAGATGACACCAAATGCACAAGCAACAAAAGAAAAACTTAAAGTGAACTCATCAAAATTAAAAACCTTTGTGCATGAAAGGACACTGTCAGGAAAGTAAAAAGATATCCTACAGAAGGGGTGGAAATACCTGGAAATCTAATAAGGGTCTATTAACCAGAATACATAAAGAACTCTTACAATGCCAACAACAAAAAGACAAACAGCCTGATTTTAAAATGAGCAAAGGACTCAAATAGACATTCCTTCAAAGATACACAAATGGTCAACAGAGAGATGAAAAGATGTTCAGCATCATTAGTCATCCGGCAAACATAAATCAAAATCACAATGAAGGCTAGGCGGGGTGGCTTACACCTGTAATCCCAGCACTTAGGGAGGTCGAGGCAGGCAGATCACTTGAGGCCAACAGTTCACGACCAGCCTGGTCAACACGGTCAAATCCCATCTCTACTGAAAATACAAAAGTTAGACGGGCATGGTGGTGCACACCTATAGTCCCAGTGCTTGGGAGGCTGCAGCCTGAGAATTGTTTGAACCCAGGAGGCGGAGGTTACAGTGAGCTGAGATCGCGCCACTGCACTCCAGCCTGGAAGACAGAGCAAGACTCTGTCTCGAAAAAAGAAAACACACACACACACACACACACACAAAATGAGGTACAACTTTACATGCCCAAGGATGGCTGTAATGAAAAAAAACAAGTGTTGGCAAGGATATAAACTGACACCCTCATGGACTGCTGGTGGGAATATAAAATGGTGCAGCTCCTTCTTCAAAAAGTTAAATATAGAATATATCACCCCAAGGCCGGGCACCCCAGGGCCCACCTCACCTTGCCCACCTCTGCCAGCTGCTACTCAGAAAGATGGGCACTGAAAAGGCCAAAGAGTGCAGGTGTGCACATGCGTGTGTGTAGGGTACAAACCTGAGACAGGTGTGTCAGAGTTAGGCCATCCCAGATGACAGAGGAGGCCTGTGGCTGGGTCATCTGGCCCCTTGTAACATGAATGGGGACACTCAAGACCCAAGAGAGGCCAAGACTCATGTAATACCATCAGTAACCCCTGCCCCTCCGACAGTTCCGCACCCATCCCAAGGCTCTCACAGTCCAGCCTAGTGAGCCACAGCCTCCGCACGCGCAGGCCACGGGACAGGAGCCCATGACCCTGTGTACTAGCATACCACCCACTCACCATGCCAAACATTCATTCAACCATTTACTGAGTGCCTACTATATGCCCACCATTTTTAGACGTGCTGGGGATACCACTGTGAAGAAGCCCCATGAAAATGCCTACCCTCGTAGAGCTGATGACATCAGAGGTCTGGCTCGTTAACCCACTTTACGGATGTGAAACCAAGGCTCAGTGAGGTGACATGGCTTGCCCACAGTTACACCAAGAGGAAGCAGCGAACCAAGGTTAGAACCTTGATAGCTGCCAAGGCTCAGGAAGCTCCATCGACAACCCCAAACTCCAGGCTCAGGCTGGGGGACTAGGCCAAGGGACCTTGAAAGCCATCTCTGTCCAGAAAGAGCAGCAGGAAACCAATCTCCTCTGCTCAGTCAGGTGCGGAGACTGCTCCCAGGAAGGGGCCTCCATCCCTCATCGCTGCTCCCTGTCTGCAGGCTGGTACAGTGCAGGATGCACGGCTCTTCCCGATGCCTGTGGCGCCAGCGCCGTCAGCCTCCTGCTCCTCTCTGAACAAGATCACTTACTCAGGACTCACTGGCTGTCGCCTCTGGCATAACTGTGAGGCTCACTCCCCGACTTCCTTCAGGCCTTTATTCAGATGCCCCCTTCTCAGCGAAGCCCCCTCTGGCCACCCTGTCTGCCTCAGACCCTCCCATCCTCACGTTGCTTGTTTTTCCTCCATGGCTCGCGCCACCGTGTGACACGCTTGGCTGCCTGTGAGCTGTCTGCCTCCCCATCAGCGCCCAAGATACCAACACGAGGATGGACTGTTTGCCTGTTTGGCTCACTGCTGGACCCCGGAACCTATAACGGTGCCTGGCCCACAGGCGCTGCTCAGCTCGTGTTTGCTGAATGAATGCAAGTGCTCACAGGGCAGCCACCCCCACACCTGGGGCCCTTCCTCCCAGGGGGAGGCCCATGGAAGCTGGCCCGGGACAAAGTCGTCTCTCAGCACGTGGCACTTCTCCCCATCTGCCTCCCAGTCTTGCTTGGCAGCCACTTGGGGACAAACAGCCCTGGGGTCAAAAAGGGTCTCTTTCCTGTCCTAACTTCACTAAAAGGGGACCTCAGCTCCCCACTAGTACAAATGGATTAGATCATGCATCGGCTCACGACATCACAGGGTTGCTCTTGTCTGGAGTGCCAAAGCCAAGGTCCTTTTCCATGGCCTGCGGGCGCGACATGGCTGGACCCTGCATTGCTCCCCTGATTGCCTCCCCCAGCTCGCCCTCGCTCACACTGCGCCAGCCACGCTGTTACCAGAAAACACCAGGCACATCCCCACCTGGGAGCCTCCGTCCTTGCTGTCCCTCTCCCTGGGACACCCTCGCCCAGCCAGTGCCTCACCTCCTCCAGGCTCCAGGCCTCTGATCACTGCCCTTTCCTCAGGGCAGCCTCTCCATGCCCCCCCGCCCCCAGCCCACTGCCCTCACTCACAGTTCCCACTTTTCACCCCAGCACTCGCCACCTCAACATTCCATGTCTACTTATTTACTGTCTGCCCCACCCCCACTGGAACGTAAGCTCCATCAGAGGACCACTGTGTCCTGGAGCCCAGGGCTACCTGGCACAGCACACAGTCAATGAATACTTGCTAACTGAATGAATGCTGAATACTGCCTCACTGTGTTACTTCAGTGATGTGACTTCCCCTCTCTGGCCCTCAGTTTCTTCATCTATAAAATGGGGCTATGAATGAGCTCACTCATGCACAGGCAGATCCCCACTCTCCTGCCCAGGTGACCGCTGAAGGAGTCCATGAAACAGGGGCATAAGCAGCTGTGGGTCTGGGGCTGCGGAATGCTGGCTCCTCAGGCTGGTAAGACCCTCTGCCTCTGCCTCTCGGGGCACAGCTTCCACGAGGAGCCAGCGTGGGAGAAGGAAGCAATCTGGCGGGCAAAAGCGGCCTCTTACCGCGCTTGTGGAGCCAGCCTTCTTTGATGACAGACACCTCGTTCATGGTGGCAGCGTGGCACGCTGTCACCTAGCTCGGGACAGCTCAGGGCAGCAGGACATGCAGGAGGCGCTGTGGACAGGGCACAGTCTGCAAGACAAGAGAGGAGCTGGTCAGGGTGGGAGGGGATTCCACACCAGCCCCTTCCCTGAGGACACCGAGCTCTGAGGCCCTCTGGCTGCTCTGCCCACTCAGCAAAGGGTAAGGCCAGCAAGGGTGGCGTGGAGCCCTGCTCTCAGGGATCCATTCTGAGCAGAGAGATGTGGCCATGTCCCCAGAGACCCCAATCTGGGGAAGCAGAGCTCCCTGGCCTAAGCGCAGGCCAGACCCCGAACTCAGGACACTCATGCTGGGGGGAGGTGGCCCCTCCACCCACAGTCACTCCTGACTGAGCAAGCATCGAGGTAGCCATGCCCTGTCCCCCGTGTCACTCCTATGGCCCAACACTGAGGTAACCCAGTATGAATCAGACAGCCCAGGGCACCTGAGGGAGTGCGCAAAGCCACCAGCATCTGCCTGTCCCCTCACCATCTTACACACACGCACACACACGTGCACACATGCGCACACAGAACCACCAGCATCTGCCTGTCCCCTCACCATCTTACACACACACACACACACACACACACACACGCGCACACAGAACCACCAGCATCTGCCTGTCCCATCTTACACACACACACACATACACACACACGCACTCTTCTCTCTCTCTCCTCCCCCTCCCTTCTTTCCAAAACAGGAAGCCACCAACCTGCCACCTTCAACAAACTAAGCACACTCCCGTCCCCCAATGCCATCCCACGCCACTCCCCAAGCCTCAGCGGCCTCCCTCCCCCGGTCAGATGATAGAGTAAAGACAGGTCTCAGACAGCCCAAGATCTTGAACAAGAAAGCAACCTACTGCGTATACACGGTCTGGGGCCTAGAAGCCAGTCCCGGGGGCTTGACCAAGGCCCTGGTCCCTACCCCAAGACCTCCACTTCTGTCCTCAGGGACCAGCAACCGACAGACTGAGGGACGCCGAGGCCACTGCTTCGTCTCAGGTTCCCGGAGCAGAGGGGAGGAGGGCGCAAGGCAGCGCCAGCTGGGCCCCTACCTGGAGCCTGGGGCCTGGCCAGGGTCCACAGAGACCAAGGCGCCTTTGCCTTTCCCAGCCTGGGGTTATTTGCGGACAGCAGGTCGGGAGCTACGGTGGCCCCCAGAGAAGTGGCAGCTGGCTCTAGGGATACCGTGGGCATCAGCTTTCTCTCGTGCCCCAGGGGAGCTGGTGGGCCGGACACACTACTGCCTGGCATGTGACAGTGGCAGGCTGCCCAGGCCCCAGGCAGAAGGAAGGGAGGTAAGTGGGAGGAAGCGGGAGGAAAGACAAGATGGACAATGACAGGGAAGTAAACAGGAGGGTGAGAAATCACATTCCGAGCTCCAAGCTGCAAAGGCAATGATGTGAGGCTGGGAGCAGCAATAAGGGGCTCCCCTCGCCAGCAACATGCCCGGCACCCCACAACCCCAACACACAGGACTGCCAGACTCTCCATCCTCAACATCCCCACATCTCAGCTGGGCAGTGGCTCACGCCTATAATCCCAACACTTTGGGAGGAAGGCAGGAGAATCCCTTGAGCCCAGGAGTTTGAGATCTGCCTGGGCAACGTAGTGAGAACCTGTCTATGTAATTTTTTCTACAAAAAAATTAAAAATTAAAAAATTAGCCAGGCATGGCGGTGTGCACCTGAAATGTCAGCTACTCGAGATGCTGAGGCAGGAGGATCACTCGAGCCTGGGAGGTCAAAGCTGCAGTGAGCCTTGATCGCACCACTGCACTCCAGCCTGGGTGACAGAATGAGACCCTGTCTCAAAAAACATAAATATGTATGTATTTCTATATCTCTCACTGTTCTGTGCGTCAACCTCTAACATGACCACCTCTCCCCATCCTGCCGGCGGCCTGGCTCTAGTCGGGTCTGCCCCCACCTCTTCCCCGAGTTCCTACGCTCCACTCTTGCTCCCTTCCCACTCACCCCACATTCAGCAGCTAGAGGGATCCTCAACGCTGAACCTTTCTCCTGCTCAAAACCCTTTGTGGCTCCCCGGTGTTACGAGGAAAACAGCCAAACTCCTCAGCTGAGGATCCAAGACCCTTCAGGACCTGGCCTCTGCTGCCCTGCGTTCCAGGTGCATGAGCTGAGACGTGCACCTAGAAAGCCCTCGGGAAAGGCTAAGGACCATGACATTGACCTCTCCAACCTCTCCGCCCCACCCCACTCTCCGTGTTATGCTTCTGTCACTCAAGCACTGCCCTCTGGCCTCCATCAGGGACAGGGCCTCCTTCTGGGCATTCTTCTCCCTCTTCCTTGAGGTCTCAGCTAAACCAGTGCCTCCTCCAGGAAGGCTTCCCCACCTCAGAGGCTGCACTGTGTGCGCTTTGTGCACCCTCGAAGCAACCCTCCCAAAACCCATAAACGCTAAGGCAGTGGACCAGCAAAGCATCTGATATCTAATGAGCAAAGGAAGAAAGAGGCCAAATGCCCACAACGGATCCCCACCCCGGGAACAGACACAGCCAGGGACACACTACCAGACTCTCTTCACGACACCAATCTTTTCTGGGGTGCGTCCTAGGCTCCAGATGGTACCAGCAATAGAATGTCACTGAGACACAGCCCTGCCTTCCTGAGGCTCACAGTCTGGTGGGAGGGGCAGAAAAATACACAGAGACACAAATCATCAGGTGATGGGGAGGCTGGAGAGTGGGAAGAAGAGGATGTTAGCTTGGTGTGGGGGACTTGTGAGCAGACGCCCGAGTTAACTGAGGGAGTGAGCTGTGTAGACACATGAGGAAATGCATTTCAGCAGGGGAACACAAAATGCAAGGACCTGAGGCAGGAGGGGGCCTGGTGAGCGGAAAGTCAGGGAGAGGTGGACAGGGGAGAACACCAAGGGCCTTCTGGGCTATGGTTGGGACTGAGAGAAGCCCATCCCCTACACGGACCTACACCACGCCTTCCCTGATGCAAGCTCAGTTCAAAATACTTCCCACATCGCTGGGAGGGAGAACTCAGAGTCCAAAGGAAGGGCTGATGTGGAGGGAATAGAACCGGGGCTCCATGTCCCATCTCCCCGCTCGCTGGCCCACAGCAGCCCACGGACATTGACTCTTAGGGCCCCCGTGATGCAGTAGCACTGGGGCTACTGGCAGCACTAAAGCACCCACTGTGGGCCCAGGACTCGGCCTACTGCGTGGTACCCAGTGAACAGCCAAACGCACGGCTGCCGTTACTCCAGAGAGAAGCAAAGGCAGACAGGCATGACCAAGAGCGGTCAGGGTTCCAGAGTCCGAGAGCCACCGCCAGCTGCGTGGCCTTGGGCAGGGTGCCGGTGCTCCCATGGAGTCACTCCTGAATGTTCCCAACACCCCATCAGATAGTCGGTGACCATGCCCAGGTGAGGACAGAAGCTCAGAGAAGGGAAGCTGTTTACCTTGGGTCTCCCAGCCGAGAAGCAGTGGAGGCCCTGGCCGCTGCTGGGATCAACAGAGTTGCTTTTTACAATCTCATCTCAGCAACTAAGGAATCAGCACAGCTGGAGGGAGAGCAGGCGGAGGAGTTGAAGATCCCCTGCGTCCCGCCTGGATCGTTCCCTGTCCTCCTACTGAGGGTGGCGCCTCATCTGAGGTGTTCGTGACGCAGTCCTGTGGTGATGAAATACCAGCCACTGCAGCCAAGAAGATGGCCTGCTCACTGGGGGGCTGCCGACGGAGGACACCAGGCGGGGGGACAGAGACTTGTCTGTGGAACCCCTGCAGCACGCCCTGCCGAGGGGAGTCCCTGCACGGCCCCACCCCACTCACTACTTCCTAAGGTGCCTGGGCATGAGTCTTCTGAGGGCCTGGCCCAGAGCTGCAGCTGCTGACTAAAGGCAAGCCACCTGGGAGGCAAGGTAAAAAGAGCAAGAGCACCTCACAGGACAGGACACCCACACAACCAAGAAACACACATAATCTCATTAGTTACAGGGAAATGCAAATTACAACCACCTACTTGGGATGGCTCGAATTTTAAAAACTGACAAGGCCAGGTGCTGGCAAGGATGCAGAGGAACCAGAACCCTTACTCACTATTGGTGGGAGTTGCAAAATGGTTCAACCACTGTGGAAAACTGTTAAGCAGTCAAAATTAAAGCTCAATATATGCCTACCCCATGACCTAGCAATTCCTCTCAAAGAAATTAGTGTACGTACAAAAGACTTGTACTAGAATGCTGACAGCGGCAATACTCACAGTAACCCCAAACTGGTTAACAGACCGGGAGTCCACCCACGAGAGAATGGATAAACAAACACATAGATCCACAGTAGAACACTACTCAGCAACGAAAAGGACTGAACTGTTGCTAAATACAGCAGAGAAGGGGTGAGAGAACGTTACAGAATGAAAGAAGTCAGACAGCACTCTGCCCACGCCCCTCCTGCAGTCTGGAGCCCTGTGACCACTTGAGTCAGCTCCTACCCCTCCCTCTGCTCGAACCCACCGCCGTGCAGCGTAAAAGCAGCCCCAGGACCCTAGGCAGCCTGCACTATCCCCCTTCGCTTCTCTGAAGGCACTTCACTTCAGCAGTGCCAGGACACACCAGGACAGTCCACCTCAGGGCCTTGTACACACTGCACCCTCAGGTGGAAACTCGGGCCCCGCCCCACTCTCTTCAGCCTCTGCTCACATCCCTTTCTTGAGAAGCCTTCCTAACCTCCCTAGGCAAAGCACGCCCACCCTACCTCCCCTTACCCTTACCCTTCATTTTCCCCAAGCACCCATCACCACCGATGTTACTGTATGTGTTTGTTTACGCTAACTGCCCACCACCCGCACTGGAACGTCAGCACAGCGAAGGCAGGACCCTTGGCTGCCTTGGTCACAGTTGGATCCCCAGAGCTTTGTATAGTGCTGGGCACAGAGTGGGTACTTAAGTATCTGTGGAATGAACGTGTACAGAGTGAAGCCCTGTGCCCACAACAGGCTCAAAATAAGCTCAATTCCTTTCCTTGCCACTTACTAAGTCCTTTTTCTCTCGCCCCCTCTCACTGACCTGGTT